GATCCGAGCTAAATTAAGTAATTAACTGACTCTGCAATTTTTAAAAATTTTCATTTGAATTTTGTTTCAGCAATTTCAGCTCAATTTCTATGTTTTATGAATTTTAATTTTAATTATTGCTTTTGTGGAAAGAAATTTGAATTTTTATGTTGTTTAATAGAAAGATAGGTGCTTGGATGGGAGTGGACGTAGGAGCAGGGAGTGTTGCGAGGAGGGGAAGTAGTATCATCATCTGCTGTGTTGCAGTAGTGAAGGGATCAGACGTCGGTATGGCATCTGCTAGCCTGGGGAATGGTGGAGTTGGCAGTTCAAGGTATGTTAGACAATAGATATGGCATAAGTGATAAGCCATTTTCCCTCTCTGCAAGTGTTAACCTCACCTGTGTGGGATTATGAAAAGGAGGGGCTTTCTTTTGCTTTGCGTTGCAAGGGATAGAGGGAGACTTAATTTATATATTAGCCTTATGAGTTTACGGACCTTCTAATATTTCGTAGCGGACCTGGAAGTGATTTTCCGGGAACAGGAAAGGTAATTGAGATTAGTCTCTTATTGGTTGATCATCCTCTATATATTTGATGAAGCTTCAACTGGCTTCTACTAGACAACCCCTCATTTCTTTATGGTAATTGAGCTTCATCTCTAATTGTTTATTGTCTGATTAGATTATTATAATATTTGGGTTGTTGGATATGTTGGATTTGAATTGAATTTTTGTTTTCATTTTTCATGGTGATGGATTTTCGAATGAAATGCACTCAACCCTGAATTCCAGTGGGGGTGGCTGAAGCAGCTGCTGGATATGACTTATGGCAGCCAAGGTTCCCTTATTGTCATGCTTTTAGTTTTATTAAATATGACAAGTTGGTATAAATATATATGTATATAGAGAACTTACATCTCTTGATAGATTGTGTTGCTAGATAGTTTTTCACGTTCCTGCTCAAAATAAAGTTTATCATGTTATTCTGTCCAACTATTGATTTGGAACAACGTTATGTAAATACTTTTCACACACCATACTTATAACACATTAGTCCTGTATTTGAAGACTTATATACAATACTTATAATTCGGATGAAGAGATCCTGATCTTTGTTTTTGGGAGTTTTTTATGCTCTGCTTTTTGAGCGAATCTTTGTTTATCATTTTTTATCATAACATGGTCATATGGTGTTACTGTCCATCCTTTTAGTTGTTAAAATCTGCTTTTTTGAGTTGTACATAGAACTCATAACGTAGAACTAGAAAAATGCAGGTGCAGAATGAACGACTAATCAATGTGAGAGAAGGGTTCAATTTTAAATGGGTTGTTATCAACCATTGAATTGCTTTTGGAGTTTTCATTTGATAAGAGAGATGGGGGATTCTTTTGGGTGAAACTTTTAATCCGTGAGATTTTTAGTTAGGTTGTGTTGTGGGTTTTTGCAAATTTCTATCGTGTTTATGCATGCATTTTTTTTTATAGATTTGGAAGAAAATAAGATTACAGGGTGTTGAGGGTTTGTTGGTGGGGGAAGGCAGCAGCGTTAAGATTTTGCAGGTGAGATATTAGGGTGAGAGAAAAAGGGGACAAAGAGCATCGAAGACACATTTGGGATTAGGGGTAGCAAAACAGGGGAAAAGAATATGACAGAGCAATGGACTCTTAATTTTTCCTTAACTGGTTTGGGATTTTTCTTGCCTTTGGGGTCATCATTGGCGTCAAGCATTTGGTGTCAAGTGGTGTCTGTTTTTTCATAATTTTTATTACTAATTTTTATGTCGTTTGCGATTTTGTATCCTAGGATTTTTTAATTTTATTGTTCATTATCGGTTTTTAAAAAAAAAAAATTGTCTTTGTATGTTTGTTTTATATGTTGTGTTTGTCCTGGGACGCTGTTTTGCAAGTTCTCCTTCCATTGGGACCGCTGCATTTTTAAAGTGTTGAGGGTGAGATTTAGATGCTCAAAACACTCCATTTTTTCCCAAATATGCGTGTTTGGTTCTCTTCGATTTTAAATGTTTAAAATTAAATGGTTGTTTAGATAAAATGGTTTATTAGTTTATCTTATGTGTTGTGATCAGGAATTCAATTAGATTGGGTAAAATGCTTTATCAATTTACGTTATAGGGAATTTTGTGTATTATGGTCTGTGAGTTTTATTGCTCATCGTTTGTTCTTTTTTCTTTGTTTGCCGGTTTCTTTTGCAGGGGATCACTACAGTTTGGGAGTCAAAATGACCACACTACCCCGTCAAGGGTTCAGATCTTGCCGTCAGGTGATATGAGAGAGGGGGTTGGATGGTAATTTTGTCCATAGGGTTTCTGACTGATTGGGATGGGTCAGGGACTTTGTTCATTTAGTTTGTTTCTGAGAGAGAGAGAGAGAGAGGGGTGAGGATGTCAGTGTCGATCTTTGATTCAGTGAGTGAGAGTGTGACGGTGAAAGAGAGGGGGATCATCGGGATTTCAGGAAGAGAAACACAGAGAGAGGGGTGATGGTGAACAAGCGCGAGTATGGTCCCTTAGTCCGGGAGTCACTCTTCATTGTCCATACTGTATTGCATGCTCAAATAAGTGTCTTTTTCAATTACATTTTGTACTAAAATCTGTTTTTTTTTATTGTTTCTTGCATTTATATCTGTGTGAATATGGTGATTGAAAAGCCCAAAAAAAATTTTCCAAATTTTTTTGTACTGGTTTTGTTAGGTTAGGCAGCATGGTTTTTGATTATTTTATTGTTATTTTTTTTAATCGGTTGGGGGATTTTCTGGGCGTCTATTTAATTGTTTGCCCTTTGGTTTTTTTCATTCTGGGTTCCCCTCTTTCATTAGAGAGTACAAAATTTCCAAAGGTAAACATCCTATCCCTTGCTTCGCTTTTCTGTCCATAGCCAATAATCGGTGAAATAAGTGTGGTTCTTGGATCTGCGGTCTGAAACAAAAAAATTTGTCTATTCTCTGTGCCAACTAATGTATCTATGATTTCTTTGCAGGACGCTACTGCAACGCTCAAGTCTGTTTGGAAAATGGAGAGCACACGACTTAAGTATCTCGGACCCAAGGTAAAATGTAATAATCTCTGGCTCCCTTTACTAATGTACGCTTGCATGCACTAGATCTGTGAATTTAAATTATGCATGTGCACTCTCTGTGCCAAAAGTTTTTAGATCCGAAGCGGTCAGGATGCTAAGTTAGGAAGGTTAATTTTGTCCTATGGTTTTGGGACGGATTGGGATGGGTCTAGGTGGCTGTCATTCAATGAGGGTTTGGTGAATGAGAGCCATGCCGCCTTTGCACAAAGAGAGAGGGAGGGAGTAGTAGGTTGTGTTTTATTGTCTTCACTGCACCATTAGTTTGATTGCCTATCCCTGTGTATTTGATTTTGTCTGGAAGATGACTTCTAATTCCTATAATAATCAGATACTCAATCTTCAATCCTGCTTAGTAGCAGCAATCACCACCTGTTTCATGAAAGGTACACGTGAAGCAGTTGTTAATATTTGGGAACCAACAGAGCTCCTTATTTTGGGGGTTTGTTTACATTTTTGGCAGGAGAACGATTTAGAGCAAGTGACTCAAAAAGTTAAACTTCAATATCGAAATTAATGGAAACCCATTGGTATGATTTCTTCATCTGAAATTTTTGATTACCCAATTGGTTGTTTCATCAATTAATTGTGTGTAAACATTTATGTGTAATTTTTTACTTCTTCCACTTAAATGGTAAGATCAAATTAAGCTTAAGAACTTTGGGTTTTGTAAATGTTGTGTAATTAAATTATTCATATTGTCAATTAATTTTGAGCAAACATTTATGGGTAGTTGTTAATTTCCCTCAATATTTGATAATAATTAAATTAAAGCTGAAAACTTTGTATTTTCTTCATTACCTGACGTAGATTTTACTTGACAGAGAATGTACTTTCCTTGATATTATTCATGTTTTGTTTTCTTTCATATCGCGTTGTAATGGGTCTCTTTGGAAAAACAATTCTTAAGACCAATTGTGAGGTGTTGTCCTACATGTTTGACTTGAAGAAATAAGACACTACTTTTGATGAACCATATTGAGAGTGAAGGAATCTCCTTTTGACCTGATCATGTTGGAGTACATTTACACTATGGAAATTCGTGGACTCTTTTACTTGCCCCTTTTTATATGTATTTGTTAATTACATGACAAAGTTTTCGACCCGTCGCATCGCGCGGGCATGAATCCTAGTTGCTTCAAATATAATAGTAGAGATGAAAGTAGCAGTGTCTAATGTGTTTAAGAATGTATCAAAAAAATAATTTAAGAACCTAATTTTCACTTCGATAATAATTTGGGACTAAATCCCGCAGTTTATCTTATTATTGCTTCGGCAACGCAGCCAAAGTCGAGAAACACACCACAAACTTCAAGATTGATTATGGTGACATGCATTTTGATTCAAAACAAACCATTGCAGAATCTTACCGAACTGTACAAGCACAGTTAGAATTGTGCAACATTTGTTATGGTCTGTAAACTTTCCAGATTTTATGCAAAAGCAAATGCTACCAAACACATAACAGTTACAATCTTCTGTAGGAAATGTTTTCGACGACGTTTACAGATAATCAAGCTCTAGTTGAACTCTCTTCGGATTTCGTCAAAGAATCAGGGCCTTATGCTTCTAAATTATTAATCACGATCGCATGTACAAACTACAAATTCATTGCAACCAGAGGTTGAAAACTAGTCAGATGTACCTAGATTGTCACGCAGACTTGCCGTTGGAGACACTCTGAATAAGCAAAGGCTTCTTATATGACTGCAACAAGAGAGAAGAACATACCACGCTTAGAGATGAAGCAGCCATACATGCACCTACAAGCCACGGTGGTAATCGAATTCCACTGAAAGGGAACAAAACTCCAGCCGCCACTGGCATGCCAAGGATATTGTAGCCCAGGGCCCAGTCACAATTCAATCGAATTTGAGACATGGTCTTTCAGGAGAGATCGATGGCTGTAACTTCATCTTCCAAGTTGGTCTTCCTCAGAACTATATCAGCTGCTTCTATAGCTACGTCGGTGACAGCACCAATTGCCATGCCAACATCTCCTGCAACTAAAGGCCGAGAGTCATTGATTCCATCTCCCACCATTGCCACCGCCATTCCTTTCATCTGCATCCAAATCCAGTTTAATAAGTCTGAAAACGTATGTTTGATAGATTGCACTCACATATCAAGTCGGAGACAAACTTGATATAGAAGAATGAGTGTGAAGATTTCTGCAAGACATTATGATAACTCATATACTTCATACAATTATACCATCAATTCCTAGCCTCTTTGTGATATTTTTGAGTTAAACTAGTTGTGTTTTACCCTCTTTTGTTTTAATGTATGGTCAATTGTATTTTAGAGTCCATTTGGGGGCAAATGAGGCAAAATGATGTTGAAAGTGGAGAATTGAATAAGGATTATGATGTAGAGAGAGAACCATTGAAGATGGTGATGAATATGGCCCTTAAGAGACCAATAACAGAAAGAAAAGAAAGAGGTTTGAAATAAATGCTTAATTACTGGGATGTGTTGCCATTATGTAACAACCTCTTTTTCCTTATAAAACCTAACTTTTCAACCACTTTTACATAGGCCCTCTCTTGGGGACACCCAGAGCTCTCTTCTCTTTCTTTGGCCTTTCTTCCAAAAACAAAACCTTATTCCTTCACCATGTGTTGCAATCAAAGAAACCACGCAGCTGCGCTATTCTTGAAGGAGTTCCACATCAAAATTGCTTCAGGGGGTTTCTTCTATGGATTTAATTTCACTTATGTTGTTCTTCATATTTACATATTTTGTGATCATGTTGTGTAATTAAGTTCATAGTTGGGGATTTCGATGTAGCCTTGCAAAACTACTCTATGTTATTAAGTTCACGCCCATGTATTTGTCATGCAATCTGCCTGAGAAACTTGCTGAAAGAATTAAGCATGCCACAAGAACAACCAACTGAGATCTATGTCGACAACAAGTCTACAATAGTTCTAGCAAAGAATATGGTATTCCACGATAGGAGCAAACAAATAGATACCTGCTACCATTACATAAGAGAGTGCATTGCAAGAAAGGATGTGCAAGTTGAATACGTGAAGTCTCAAGACCAAGCCGCCGACATATTCACCAAGCCACTCAGGCAAGAAGACTTTGTCAGATTGAGGAACTCAATCGGTGTCACAAGACAAGATTAAGGGGGGATGTTGAATGCTAATCTTCTCTTGGCCCAAGACAATGGATCCAGCCCATGCACAAAGAAAGATTCATGCACACGCTAGAGAATTCTAACAATACACAATGTCGGTGGCACCATGCTAGAAAACTCTAGAAATTTTGTTAGTGGAAATGCATATTGGAAGTTGTAAAATTGTGAGGACATTAGGCAAAGCCTAAGTCGGTGTGCATGCTAGAAAGGTCTAGTTGCTTGTAAATTTGCGTGGTTGTCATGCAAAGCCCAAAGGCGGTGGGTATGTGTTGTAATAGTAGAAGTAACAACCAGTGGCGGATCCATAATTTTAACACAGAGTGGTCCTAATATAAAAGCTCAAAAATAAAAATATGAAAATAACATTAAAAATAAATGGAAAAATACAACTTCGACAAAAAATATGTATGAACTAACACTGTAACATAATCTTCGACAAAAAAAAAAAAAAAAAATACATTGTAACACAATCCAAGTAATATTAGAAAATCCTAACGAATCAACACTAAATATGTATGAACTAACACTAAAATAGATATGAAAAAATCTTAAGAAATTAACAAAGAATAAGGCTGAACTTAGTTTAAAACCCGTTAGTGTTGATTGTTTGACTTTTTATCAAAAATCCTTACCAAAAACCATTATCAAAGACCCTTACATATATGTATTCACTGTTCATCCTTTTGTTTTTAATTAGTGTTCTTAAAAAAATAAAAATAAAACTAAAAATCCAAACAAATTAACAATAAATATGTATGAACTAACACTAAAAATAAGTATGAACTGACACTAAACTAGAAAACTTACAGAAATTCTGAAATTTCTGTTGATGGCCTTCGTTGGCTTGGGTGGCATGAGGAATAGGAGCGGCATGCAATTAGGTATATTATATTTGATAAAGTTGAATTTGATTGAAAGCAGACCAATAAAAAGCCATGGGCTTTTATTAAATTTCAAATTGTTATCACGTGGGTTTTAAATTTTTTTTTTAATGACTTGGCTCAAAACGATGTCGTTTTGCCAAGTCATTTAAAAAAAAAAAAAAGCTTTCTTCTTCCTCCTCTAGTTTTGCACAGCGCAGCAACCATGGCTGCTGCTCTTCTCTACCACTTCCCAGACTTGGGTGGTCCTAGGAGGTTCTCACAACCATTTATCCAAGCTTCCGGGTGGTCCCGAGACCACCCTGGTCTCTTCGTAGATCCACCTCTGGTAACAACTAAGAGAGCAAGCAGTTAGAAGTAGTAAGAAGTGAGAGTAAGTAGAAGAAGCACCCATAGCTTCTAAGAGTGTTTGAGTGATCCTTCTTGTATTAGTTTGTGTGAGAGTAAAAAGTTTTTGTGTATTAACTTGAGTGTTTCTTTTTTTCTTTTCTATCAATTTTCGCTGCATTATATTCTTCTTTATGGGATAAATATCTTCAAGATAGTGAAGCCTCTTTAAACCCCAACAACCAGTTGGTGGCCAAGATGTTTTGAGGGTCACTAGTGATGTGAGCTTTGAGAGCGAGAAGCGCAGACTGATCTGTGCTAAAATTGGTATGAGCTATTGCTAATGCACCTGCTATTAAGTAATTAGCCATAATCATCACATAGATATAACACAAGCAGTGTATCATAGACAACATTTTCGAGAGTAGGAAACGACTTCTCTCCATACACAATATATATACTCTCCTTAATCGTAGTAGTTTTCGTCTTTCGGTTTTAATTTGATAGAAAACTTGAACTCATTACATTCACATAAAATAGGGAAACGAGTTGGTGTTACCAAGACTTGTGCACGACTTAGACTTGCCCGGCTTCTACGTCTGAGACTTGCATTGCTCGGCTTCTACTTCGAAGTGAGGAAACTTAGACAAGTCGAACGAAGACTTGTGATTTGGATTTTTTACATATAAAACACACCATTCATTTTTTGCTGATAGCTTAGCTACATGGGCAAAGTGAGATTAAAATCAAGTTTAAAGAGGCGTAGTTAAAAATAAGCCTTCATTTTTTGCTGATAGCGTAGCTAGGTGAGGAGGAATGGTGACTGCAATGAGACTGATGTAAGAGAGATTCAAGGCCACGACTTGAAGATGGCGTACCAACCCAGTTGCAACTTGCAAGTGAGCAATCAATGGTAAGGATGTTTTGGTCTGTGGTGGTGATCTTGGTAATTTGCGCTGCTAGCCGACGAGTTCTATCCATTTTGTGCGCACAGCTGGAGATGCCCAAATGTTGAATTGTAGTCTTCAGTTCACACACCATCAAAACAAACAACATAGAATTGTGATTCTACAATGCACTTTAAAAGTTTATTAAAATTTTTCATTTTTTTTGGTAATTAAGGGGCCGTTTGATAACCATTTCGGTTATTTATTTATTTTTATTTTTTTTGGCTTTTATTTTTTGTTTTTTAACTACTTTCAATTTTCAAAAAAAAAAAAAAAAAAAAAAACTAAAAACTAAAGGTTAAATTTTGAAAACTAAAAAAGTAGTTACCAAAGAAGTTTATCATGGGCCTCGATATCAATTTTTATACTGGGCCACTACATTCATGCAAATCCAGAAGAAATCAAAATTTCATCTTCTCCATATAATGGCATGTGTTACAATAAATTTCATTCTTGGAAAAACAAAATTTAGAGTGTGTTCTTGACACTTTTTGCTCTCTTTGCATTTCACTATAGATATTATATTTAATTTTGCTTAAAAAAGTTTTTTTTTACATATGTAAGCAAAACTAAGTAGAAACCATCTATTCTTCTTTTTCTTAATTTGTTTTGTTTCTTGTTTTACCCATAAAAATATAATTAAAAGTTCATTTACAAGGTTGCTTCAGTTGCTGTCATTTCAATTCATAAACTAATCTTTACTGTTATGGTGTATTTTATCATAAATGATGTCTTTATGGCCACAGTTGTGCTATCCTCACTGATTTTGAGCTTCTTAAACCACATATGTTAAATATTCTCCCGCTCATTTAATAATAGGTATTATTTTAATTTTCTCCTTCTAACAGGGGAATGCAGTTCGCGCAACTATGAAAGCTCGAGACATCCAATTTTTTTTTTTTGACCTTCTGAGAGTTGGCAATGCATACGAGATTAGCAAATTTCGTGTTGTTCACAACAGGACATCGAGCAAAGTTGTCCTTCATCCTACCTCAGTTGAATTAAATAGGAAAACCACAATCATTCCCATTGACAAAACAAACCAGGAAATCCCAAAGCAGTGGTTCAATTTGATTGACCTTGATCAACTTCATAAGCGAATCAACAACGATGTTAAGCTTACAGGTAACAAATTTGGTTTTACGTGTTGTACTAACATCTGAAATCATTATTATAATTTATTCATTGCCTTTTGTGTGCAATCATTTTCACCGCTAAATATCATTCGCAGATGTGTTTGGTTGTTTAACGGCTGTGCAGCCGATTGAAGATGTGACTATCCAAAACTCAAGAATTGAGAAGAAGAGGGATCTTAACCTACAAGATATCAGGTCATTCATGTTTGTGTTAAGTTCAAATTACGCTTTATACATAAGGCGTCGTATTTATGACATATAAAACATCACATTTTTTAAAATTATAGGGACGAAACAGTTAGGATCATCTTATAGGGAGAAGTTGCAACGACTTTTGAGGATAGTGGAATGCAATCCCTTTTACCACCCGTCTTCATTACTTTAACAAGCCTCAAAGTCAGATAATACCAAGGTTGTACCTCAACGTCCTTTCTTTGGCTACTTATACCTTCAATTTGTTGATTGTTATGTTTTATATATAGGAAATCCTATTTTTGGAAACACTGGATCAACTGCTTGTTTTTTCAATCTAGAGATTCCACAACTCACTCAATACAAAAAAAGGTAAATCAACAACCTTCCTTTAATAACTTTGTTGTTTATATTTCTTCAATTTATCTTTCTCAACCTAAACATACACGACACAGGTTTGAGCATTTGAGATCACCTGTTCGAATCTTCGAATCTTGCGCACCTCAGCTGAGATGTATGTAGACCGTGCTGTTAATCCTAATTTTGAGTCCAAAACGATTGATGAGCTCCTTCTACTTGATCCTGCTTTACACAAAGTTAGTCTCTTATCACATATCTGTTAACAAAGATCACATCTTTTTAATAATAAATTTTAGCGCTTCCTCCTGCTTGGCTATCTATTGCTTTTTTTCTTATTCATTTATATTTCATGTTTACAAGATGATGATTAAATGCATTTCATTATTTAAAAATTGTGTGATTCCATAACAGAATGCAAGTTTTGCATGCAAAGCGACTATTGTTGGATTCGATTTGACTAGAGGTTGGTGGTACAAGTCGTGCCCATTTTGCCATAAAGCTGTCAAGAAAACTTCCAGATCATTTGAGTGCAATGAATATGGTTTATTAAACAGATTACCTGAACCATGGTAATTTCTTTTACAATTATTTTACTGCTAACTGTTGTATTAAGCTGCTTAGTCATTTTTAAATTTCTTGCAATTATAAAATTTATGTGTCTTTTGATTTATATTTATACTTCGTGACTTAATCTACAACCTCTTGAATTGCCTCTGATATACATATGGATGGGAGTGTCTTTGGTTGACCAAAGTTTTGGAATACTCATGGACTTTTATTCAAAGTTGTTTTTGTAAACAAAGCATCTTTGTATTTGGATCACAACTAATTGGTGAGATAGGGTAATTGGTGAGAAAGGTACTAGATTGCTGATAAATGAATGACAAAGTTGCATGTTACATGCTGGATGTCAATTTGGGATTATTTTCTATTTGTGTTGTTGAAGGAAATGGAATTTTCCCCTTTCATTATATTTGCAAGTTTCACAATCATGGACATTTAATGTTGCATGTTATAGGTTGTTAATCTGTACCTAAGATAGAATATAATGCGGTATTTTATTGGTTCCTTGCTTTTTGGGCAGCTTCCATTCCATATTTTAGTTCAAGATAGTTTAGTCATAGTGGTTTTTTTTTTTTTTTCTTTTTTAGGATTTTGTGATCATTACATTCTTACACCCATTATTTGGTATCTGGTTAAATTTGTTGGCTTGATGAGATTAGTTTTGGTGGTGTTTGGTACTCAAGAATGTTGCATGAAAAAAATGCATAGAATAAATGAATTAGGAATCTATGTTTGCCTAATTTTTTTTAACTGCGCTGAAATCCAAAGGCTTATTTGACTGTCCATATATTTGATTTAAAGACATGTTTTACTATGGTTTTGCATTTACTGTGCATCCCATCTAGAAAAAAAGGAGAAATGTGAGATCTGCGAAACTATTATCGTTTAGGTACACTTTGTTTTCATTTATTGTGATGTCTATAGGGACATGGGTTTTTCTCTTAATTTTTTATTAACATGCTTTTGGCAATCTATACTTTCAGAATGTTAATGGTAGTAATAACTGCCTAACATGAAAATATCCAACTCTTCCTTAGGTTCAAAATCAATCTTATAGTGGAAGACAGCACAAATCAGCACAACTTCCTCATGTTAGGAAGGCACGCTGAAAAGATACTTCATGTTTCTTGCCACACTTTGGTAATAGAGGACATATATGACGATCCCTTCATGGAGCCACCACCTTTGAAAAAATTGGTGGGCGAGACAAAAAGATTTTTGCTATCTTTTGGCAATCAAAATAGTGACTTTCCGAAAACGGACTTCATCATTTATGGATTGCTTCAAGATCAGCTGCCTTTGAACCCAGCGATTGTCTCAATTGACCCACAAATGCCTGCTATTGTCGTAGGAAAACAAATTATGAGTGAAGCGACTCCCGCCCCAGCAACTCCTTCCCAGTAGCCAGATCACCAACCCCAATCGGTTGCAACTCCCAAAACTTCAAAGAGAGCATTGTTCATTGATCACGCAAACAAACCTGACAGATTAAGTTTTCCTCTCAATTATCGTCTTATGTGTAAATCTTAATAAATATGGTTGCTTATCTTGGGTGTACATATGTGTTATGCAACTGATCAAAAACTATTAGCCAATCTTTTTGCACCACTCTTTGACATTTTTTTGCATACCTATCACGATTCTCTCTGACCTTATAAATTGTACCTTCATTCACAGCAAAAAAACTCACAACGAGCAAACAGAGACAACCAATTCTACTAGAATTGCCAAAGAATTCCACAAATAGGTTGGCCCTAAGATTGACCCTGCCGACAAAGAGCTGATAGCTGCGCTCAAAACAAAGTCTCAAGCCAAAAAAACAAAAGATAGGTAAATTAGAATTTGTTTTACGCATGCACGCCTGCATAACATCTATTATACCAATGTTTGCTAAACGATGATTCATGTTTTTTACTATAGTGTTGAAGATGTTTGCCCACAAAAAAAAATGAATGACTGCAGTCTCCATTGTGAATTGCTACAATGCTGCTCTCCATTTTTTTGCCTTTAAAACATGTGTAGCTGAAAACTTAGTTGCTGAAACAACAACATAACATTTTTTTGAGTTTTTTTGTAACTACTTAAACAGGTGCCTGTGCTGCAAGGCATGTATTTTACCACCTGAACTTCAGAGGCAAAATGTGTGGACTGCATCTTCCTCTTGTAACTAATAGGTACAGGCATCCTACATCTCTATTGCCTTGAACATTTGGGGCTTCTTTTTTTTTTTTTTTTTTTTTTTGTTTGTAACTACTTAAACAGGTGCCTAGGCTGTATGGCATGTATTTTGCCACCGTAACTGCAGGGGCAAAATATGTGTGGACTGCATCTTCCTTTTGTAACTTATGGATGTTTTTTACTATAGTGTTGAAGATGTTTGCCCACAAAAAAAAAAATATGAATGACTGCAGTCTCCATTGTGAATTGCTACAAAGCTGCTCTCCATTTTTTTGCCTTTAAAACATGTGTAGCTGAAAACTTAGTTGCTGAAACAACAACAGAACATTTTTTTGAGTTTTTTTTGTAACTGCTTAAATAGGTGCCTGTGCTGCAGGGCATGTATTTTGCCACCTTAACTTCAGAGGCAAAATGTGTGGACTACATCTTCCTCTTGTAACTAATAGGTACAAGCATCCTACATCTCTATTGCTTTGAACATTTGGGTTTTTTTTTTTTTTTTTTTTTTTTTTTAACTACTTAATGTGTGGACTGCATCTTCCTTTTGTAACTTATGGGAACAAACATACTACATCTTTGTTGCTTTGAACATTTATGCTTGAAAGATTAGCTGCTAAAACAAAAACAACCTACTTTTTCACCTTTCACTGATCTATCTGTTTTATTCGTTCATGATTTTGTTGAATTTTTTTTCAAGTTACAAGTGTCTAATTCATGTGGTTAAGATTCGTGCATTCAAGTCTTGTAGCAACGCGCGGGCATTTTTCTAGTTGTTTCTATGAAGATAATGAATTTTAGCAACGAATCATAAACAGTATTCATTGTTTCTGTAAACACAAATAATCTAACCATGAAAAAGGTAAAGTTAAAAAAGAAACACTACAAAAAATATGGTCTGAGGCTTAGAACACAATTGATTTTTGTTCTTTTCAATTTCGTTGAGCACATATATGTATTTGTGCTTTTAAATGTCAATGAACACAAAACTATCTCAATGTGTCTTCTAAAGAAAAAGGCACATTGGTGTCTTAAAAAAGTGTTTTTGTGCCTCTTAAAATTTGAGCACAAAAAACTGTGTCACTATTCACATATATCAGTAATTATAATCTTTTATTAATTTACAAACATACAAAAAATATGTTTAAACTATTTGGTCTTAGTGGTATTTCTCTTCATTTGTAAGTGAAATGTTTTATATTCGATTCTTGCAAAAAAATAAATTGAACCACATTATTACTAACTCATTGTGAGACTTAGTGCACTCCCCCACCCTTTACTGTTAGAGGTGCAACTTGGGTTGAGCCAATCCGAACCCGCCCATATCCAACCCGACTTTAAACCAGAACAAGTGGGCTTTTTTAGTTATAACCCATCTAAACCCAACTCAATTTCAACCCGTTCATTGATTGGGTTGAGTCGGGTTGATCATTTGCCCGTCCATTTCCAACCCAACCCGACTAACCAAACTCAATCTAACCAGATTGTAACCCATATCAATTAATGCTCATATTGCACCCAAGTGAGTCAAGTCCAAAAACCAACGCGCTTTCTAATATTTTTTTTTAATAAATTACCTTTTATAATTACTTAAGCTTTTAGGGAGATTAACAGACTTTGACTAGTAAACCCATATTTGTAGTCTCTAAATCCTAAAGCTTTATAGTAGATGGATTTATGAAATTAAAGTTAGCTAGCTTTGATGCTACTTGGCTTAATTTTTTTAAGAATTCTTGAAAACTAAGTTGTTACAAGATAAAACTTGAAAAAGTTGGGCAACCCAAATCCAACCTTAACTCAATTAAACTCGAATGAAACCTAACCCGAACTCGAGCCTGAACTTTAAAAGTAGGGTTATGATTGAATTGACCTTTCAACTCACCCAACACGTCCAAGTTGCTCCCCAACCTATTGTTGATAATATCGTTTATTGAAAAAACAAATCATTTGGCCTTAAAAGACACCAAGTTCGTGTCTTCTTTTGAAGTCTGGACACAAAATCATATTTAAGTATTGGTTTTTATTGATCCCACAACCCACTGAGTCACCCACACCCACACCCGCTGAGAAACCCTCCGCACGCAATCTCCACAAGAAAGGATCTCGGAGCGGTGGTGGGCTTGGGATCGGCGGAGGGTTTGGAATCGAAATCGGAGGCAGGAGTGGCAGTATCGATAATTGCGGGGTCATCGAGGGGCGGTTTCTGAGGGAGGCACTCTTCTTCGTCCCAATACTCGAAGCTGGTTAAGGGTTGGGAAGATGGGCGCATGGAGAGTCCGAATCGGGAATCAGGTTAGGATCCGGGTCTGGTAGGGAGGGATCAGGGGAAGGAGGTGGGTCGGGTTGGTAGGCAGTGGTGAGGGAAGGGCGGGTGCGAGTCGGGAGAAGGAGTGAGTAGTCGTCGTCCTTATCGATTTGATGAAGAAGGATTTGAGTGCATTTGAATGATAAATGGGGTTGGGTGAGTTGGTATCTTGTGGGCAAATTCGTGAAGAAGGATTTGAGTGCAGTTGAACTAGTTGATGGAATGTCTAAGAGACATAATTACAACTGGAATTCTCATAGCTGCTCATATGCTGTTTGGAATGCTCATATGAGATGTGGAATGCTCAAACTTATGCATCATTTGGTGTTGCAAATTCATGACCGTGATTGGCACCCCATTGGTGCTACAAAGTCAATTAAAGTAGAATTTGGAACAAATCATAGAGGCTTTGGACGGGTTGGGACTGGTTCGAATATTACTATATAGAGCTATTTCTAGTACTTATGCATGCTTGTACGATTATGGATACTCCCAAGGAAAGATTTGTCTGGTCTTTGATATCTTCTGTTGGTATCTTTTATCTCGGTTCTGGTGCGACTATCGTTCATGGAGTTCAAAACTTGTGGACTTCACAGCCTCTTCCAACTATTCAATATGCACCTCTTGTGATTGGTGGCTCATTTATTATTGAAGGTGTCTTTCTTCTTGTTCCATACAAGATGTCAAGAAAGGTGCAGCTGCTGAGGGCATAAAGTTGAGAGACTTGATATGGCGCGGACATGATCCCACATCTGGTGCAGTCTTGGTGGAGGATGGCGCAGCTGTAACTGGTCTTGCGATTGCTGTGGCATCATTGATTGCAGTGAATAAAACAGGAAATGCACTTTATGATCTCATAGGATCGATTGTAGTTGGCAGCCTACTTGGAATGGTGGCTATTTTTCTGATCCAAGGGAATCGACATGCTTTGATTGCCAGGGCAATGAATGACATTATATGAAGCAGGTTCTCCAGTTTTTGAAAAATGACCCAGTTGTGGATTCTTTTGATGTCGCTGAAAATCTTGCACTTCAGCCTAGGTACATGTTATCTGGTGGTCAGAAGAGCAGAGTTGCATTTGCCAAGATAGCTTCCAAGAAACCGCACATAATATTGCTGGTTGAGCCCTCCAATCATTGGGATTTGGATGCTTTGGAGGCACTGACTCAAGGTCTTGTTCTTTTCCAAGGAGGCATTCTCGTGGTTAGTCATGGTGAGCATCTGGTCTCTGGAAGTATGGATGTGCTATGGTTGGTATCAGAAGGTAGGATGTAACCATTCCACGGCAGTTTAGAGGACTACAAGAAGATACTGCAGTCCTCGTGGGAAAAAAGTTACCAGCAATTCATCCATCACTCAGATTTTGGAAACATAGCAATTGAATTGAAAACATGTCCTATCACAAGTGTGTTGCTGCAAGTTCTTATGCTTCATAATTGGTGGTCTTATGTTTCTTCCTTAGCTCCCAAAGTTGAGCCTTCCACCACCTTGCTACTGAGCAGAGAGGAAGGTCTAGTGCAGAAAGTCTCCCCACAAGCAGCATTGACTCGGCAAAATTCTCACATTCCTTCCAAGAACAACAAATTCACACTTCGGTTGCAAGACTCCTTAGTTGAATTTCACTGCAAACGGTTCCAGATTTCAAGTTCTAATCCTAACCTTGAGGACAAGGTTGTTCTTCAAGGGAAGGGCAATATTATGAACTTAGGATTGTGATTATCTTAATCACAAATTAAGAGTCAAGTTAGTTGTAATTGAGGGTTTTACTTCGTGTATAAGAGCACTTGCTCTTTGGTTTGTAAGCATATCAGAATTTACAAAAGAAATACAAAAACACAAAAACAATTCAGGAGCTCTGCTCTCTCTCTCTTCCTTCCCTCTTCCTCTCTAGCCTCTATGTTACTTGCAGGTTGATTGAGGGCTTAGAGATTTGGATCTTATCACACCATCGTCCTCATCGATTTCATCACCATTATCCTCATCGATTTCATTGCCATTGTCCTCATCGATCTCGTCGTCCTCATCTTTTTCCAACTGGGTAATTGTTTTTTTTTTATGTAATTTTTTTTAACAATTTTAGTTTTTTTTTTTTCTGTAATTTTTTTAACATTTTTTTCTTTTCTGTATTTGATCCCGCAGGAAACTCAGTGTCTTCTCGGTGAACCTGGTGAGTGATTCACTCTTTTTCCCACCAAATTTGGAGATATAATTTGAAATGGTATGTGCTTTACTTTCTTCGCACTAAATATTTGGAGCTTGAATTTGAAATTATGCTTAAAATTTGTTTGATAGTTGTTTTTAGGCTTTAGATGTAATATAAATATGCTAATTTTGTTGGGGTTTTATCTTTATAGGATTTTATGCAGTTTACTTTTTACTTTAGACTCTGAATTGTGTTTTCAGCACCGGGGATTAGTGCTTCACCATCAGAAGACAGTATGCAAGATTTGCGGTTTTGTGGTTGATCTGTGGGAGGAAGGATTTACAACCGCTCGTAAAGAAGAAGAACATGTATTAGGAATTGTTTTTTGTTTCAAAGCAAAAAAAGTACTGTGGTACAACCAACTTATTGTTTTGTGCAGAACAAAGAAGAACTGACGTCAAGCTTCTCCTTGGGAGTTCTCAGGTATTGTCATCATTGGACATTATCTAAGGAAGTGCATATGTTGTTACTTGGTAATTTGTACTGCTATAAAATGTGATAGAAAATACATCATATGCTCAAATTTGAATTGGCATGGTCTGTCCATTTACACCGCTGGGTGGTGGTAGTGGTGGCGTGCTGCTATCTATAATTCTATCAGTCAATTAGTTTCTTCTATAAAATGTGTGGCCTTATGCTTTGTTTATTGGATATTTATAAATTATACAATTCCAATGTTGTCTAACATGATTCGATTTGCACTAGATATGGAGTGTTTGAAAGAAAAGGGTACGTTTGATCGGGACAAATACCAATGAACGATTTGACAGGGTAAATTCATCCTTTGGTCAAGAACAAAAGCAAATTTCAGCTACCATTTATTTCTACTAGACATAGGATATTGCAAATGTCTAGTAACTAGAAACACATGGCTTCTGATAGCGTTTAATAGTTAACACTTTTTCTTTTGCCCATTCTGTACTGTGTATTCACGCTTTTGCTTTTCTCTTGCAGGTTGGTTTATGCCAAATACATGCTATATGAAAGCAATTTTAGGGGTAACAAATGCTTAATTTTCTTTTGCTCTCTTTTATGAATTTCATTTGGATGGGAATGGTTAGGTGATGTTACTTGTTACACCAGAAAAGGTCTGGTTTTGGTATAAAAGCTTAACTGCAAAAACATATCTGAAAGGTTTCGTTAAGCTACTAAGAAAGTTCGGGAGGGGTCAAACTCCTTAGGTTGAGGCTCTCGCATGCTAAAAACACAAGGGTGTTAGGTTTTACATGATGTGTATGAGTTGTTGATAGCTGCATACACATTGAGAATATAGCTTATCTTTGTATCCGATGAGGGAGTGGTTGTCAATTTTTTGTGGTTACTAAGAAGTAAATGAGAGAAGGAAATCGATCAAATTTCAAATTTTACACTTTGATTGTTCTTTTAAGAAAACAAAGAAGTAGGTTTTAGCTACTCTGAAAGAAGGTCATGTTTTTGCTAATATGTTTTGTTTCTTGCCTTCTGCAGATTGCTATCTAGATGTGGAGAGGAAATAACGTAACAAGGCCATTTTGAGTGGCTGGAGAAGCTGCATTGGCACCCCTGATTGACAAGGGTTTAAAAAGATCCAAAAATATTTCAACTTTCCCAGTCTTGTTAATGCATTTGCGCTGCTTGTCTCTGTCGTGGCTGCACCATGTTTGCCAGTTGCTGGCTTGCTTATCCTCTCAAGATGGGGGAAATGAATGGTAAACATTGCGTGCTAACTGTTTCTCGGAGTGATTCATTCTCGTAATTTCCAGTTTCCTAGGTTTTTATGTTGTCCCATGGAGCTGCTACTTATGACTACCATCATCAGTCTGCTAAACCCGAGATTAGGAATCTATTAGACAGTCTTACTTTTGTAAGTTGGCGATTATATGCACAAGTAAGACCTGAGGAAATCGTGGATTTGTTTGAATACAATGTAGCGTCCCAGCGTTGAAAACTAGTAGTGTTTCGCTCATGGAAATGTACCTTGGAATGAATAAGTGTGTAATACTTATTTTTTGTTCCAACTGTCTTTACTTTCCAATTGTATTTTGGTGTCATTCCATTTTAACCTTAATTCCATTCAAACTAGCTAATAATGAAGACATCGAAGAACCTAACGTAAAACATCTGTACAAGCAAAACACAGCTTAGCAACGCCAAGAAAATCATCTACGAGAGTTGATCCAATTCAGACAGGCCGCATGGTTATTGAAGACAAAACTGCCGAGATCCATATTAAAACTCCAATTTGGCAACTGATGAGCAGTACAATTCTGCTCCCTGAAAACATACTTCAGCTCAGCTCACATCTAACCAATTGACTCATCGATTTTTTGCATCTGCTCACAATTGTATCAAGTATCAAGAGGATAATAGTTATCAACCAGATTTTGTTAGAACAAAGTGACAGCAAACAGCTCTGTCAATAAAATCTCCTTGTCCCAAATTGACAAATAAAAAATACATACAAAGATCATTTTGGGTGATAATATCCACACACTTCTTTTTACCTTTCACATACCTTTATTATTTACCGGCTGTCAATCAGTTGAAACAGTCAAATGGCATAAATTAATAAGTGATATATGAAAAGTAAAAATAAGTATATAAAGGGGTACAAAACTAAATAGATACCCAAAAATACCACAACACAGTCAGTCAGTACATTTCAGTTGCAAATGAAAATTACATACACTAGGATTTGCTCTCTCTATCGCTGAGAGATTCTCTGTGAGCGATGGCAATGGCGGACAATGGCAGTCGTCTGCAAATGCACAACAGCGAGGAGGAGCTTCTTCTGCTTCAGAGAAGTCAGTTTCGACGACAAGCCCGACCGCCGAAACCTCCTCCGAAACGTTTCGACCCTTCCTGTCTTTAAAAAAGGCCTCTTCACTCGCTGCAGCCCATCCCCTGCCGGAAACAGTATTATTAGGTTTATCTCACACAATTACGGTTTTTTTCCGTTTTCTTGTGAGTTGCACGGTCTGTTTGGTTCACGAGAAAACGTAGGAAAATTTATAAAAATTTTGAGCTTCTGTAGAGTTTACTGAAGTGAATACTTGACTAGGTTCAGTTGGGTTGCTGATAAATTCAAAACAATGAAATTTAGACGCGAATGCTTTTAATCGATTTGACGAGAAGTTTTTGAGCTAGTTTATTGCTTTTGAATGTTCAAATTGGATCGTATAAACGTGTCTGTGTGATAATTAGATGATTTGTTGCTTGCAGCATGGATACACGAGAGAATTCGAGGTCCTCGATATTGCCATCTTCCCGAGATATATGTGATGATGCCTGTCGATGCCTTCTGCAGTGATGGTACGGGGCATCCAAGGATTAGGAAGTAAGTTTTATTATGAGTCTATGACTTTTTGTTGATGAGGCTATGATGCATTTTCATTCTTAATTTAATTGTTACACACTTTTAAATGACGGAGTATGGTTAGCAACAAGGTTGCAGCTAACTATTTTGGTCTCTTCCCAATTCAAGTTTTATAAATGTACGTTTCAAAATGTTTCTAAATTTATTTTTTTAATTTAGTTTCCTTTCAAGTGAGACAGAAACTCCTTATATGTTGCTGGATTCACTGTTGTTTCAGAATCAAGGCCTTAACTGTAGCTCTAAAAGCCCTCAAGTTGGCATGTGTCCACCGAATTGCAGTTGAGGTTTGGTGGGGAATCATAGAGCATTTCTCTCCTCTTGCATATGATTGGTCTCTATATGAAGAGCTTTTCAAACTGATATCTGACACAGGTTAGGTTTGAAGTTGCATGTTGCCTTGTCTTTTCACTCAAATGTTAACTCTTCTAGCAGAAAAGGGGGTGTAACTCTTCCACTTTGGATCATAGAGGTTTGTCTTCTTTGATATATTGAAATCCCATTTGAAGTTATTAGTCTGGTACAATGCACATGGCTGTATTGGAACACTTAATTTAGCCGGTCATACTTTAAGAAACATAACCCATTTGGATGACTAGAGATAATATCAATGTTTCTTCAGTTTCGTGCTCTGCAACGTGCTATGGTACTGTGTTCCCTAGTGGCATACTTGATTTTAGCTTTGATATGCTTAAAAAGTTTATCAATGCAAAGGGATGTGAAAGAAAAACTATATTTTGGCCGTCATTACACACCTATCAGTTTGAATCTTGAATCTAGATAAAGAAGTTGACCTCTTCTTTTTTTCCTCCCAGATTGGTGATCAGAATAAACATATATATTATTGGGACCAAAATGGATTTTCCAATGATGATTATCTTACAGTGGGAGTTGACCATGTTCCTCTCTTTTGCGGATGGACTGCCCTCCAATGTTATGAAGATTTCATGTCAAGTTTTGCTAAGAAATTTGAATTCTTAATCGGAACTGTAATAGAAGAAATTAGTGTTGGTCTTGGTCCTTCTGGTGAACTTAAGTATGTTATAGTTACACTAGAACTACGAGTAGGAAGCCAGTCCAATGATTTCTTATGCAACATTGTTACATTGCTCACACAGATATCCTGCACATCCTTTTGGTGATGGTAGATGGAAGTTTCCTGTAATTGGTGAATTCCAGTGCTATGACAAGTACATGTATGTTAAAAATCTTTCATTCCTCTGACGGAAATTTGGTTGCTATTGAATTTTTACTATTTACAACCTTGTTCCTTTTAGGATGGGTGACCTAAAGATGGCTGCACGCACGGAAGGAAAACCTCAGCGGGAAGAGAAGGGACCACAAAAGGCTGGCTGTTACAACAGTCTCCCATCTGAAGTTCCTTTCTTTGGAGAGGGAGAGGAAAGCTTTCTTTCTGATTATGGGTGTTTTTTCCTTGTATGAAACTGATGAAAGCGGCTTGCTTAATTATTTCCCATGAAAAATTTCTGCATAGCTAAAGCCTAGTGTAACTTGCATGACATATTGCTTTTATCATTCTGTTCATGCACATTTCATCCTCGAACTACCACTTAAAATAAACTGCAAATGCTGAATTGAAGTTGTGTTTCTTTAGCCATGCAACATTTCTGTGTAGGTGCATGTAAACAACATGGGCCTGCAATATATATTTTCAATCTTTACTGGAACTTTTCTTATAACTATCTCTATTTGCTTCTAGGGGTTGTACTTGCAGTGTTTGCTGCTTAAGTCTTAACTACTCTTACGCAACATGATTAAAAAGTAGATATGTTTTAATGATATAATATGAAGTCATGACAAGGGAATGGGTTTTTAAGAAACTGCACTAAGTTAATACAATTTGATTAAGAATGAAAATGCATTGATGCTTGTCTTCTAGAGAGAGAAAAAAAAAATCATCATAGGATGTACTGGTTAGTAACCTAAGGACAATTATGGAGTATGAGTGGAAAATTGAATTATATTATGGTTCTTTGTCATGCAATACTTGGCATAACATGATTAAACTTATTGGAAAACACTGTGGAGCTTTGGAAATCTGACAGTGGCTTGACTCGTTGTAGGAATGGTACAGTGGTAGGTTGCTTCATCATGCAGATGATATTCTTGCAAAGCAGCTAACATTTTGAAGAAATATCAAGAAAACAAGCAAACCTCAATTATATTGGCGGCTAAATTTGGTGGAATATATTGGTGGTATCAGGTGATAGCACACCCTGCTGAACTTACAGCAGGATACTACAACACTGCTGTTAGAGATGGTTACGATCCTATTGCTTCACTTTTGTCTCATCATGGAGCTGCTTTGCATGTTCATTAAGATTCTAAGTTTTAAGGTTCTGACTGGAATTTTGTTCATTGTCCAACTTGATAATTAGGGTTTCTTAGACATCCGCTTGATTTCAAATTTATCTTTTCTACCAAGTTCACATAATAAATATCTTATTGCAGCTGCTGAGAAATGATGGATGGTGATAACCCAGCATCCTGTCTTTGTAGCCCAGAAGGATTACTCCAACAGGTACGAGGCCTGTTGATAAATAATGCTTCCTTAGGTTGTTGCTTTGTTGGCACTTATTTTGGACTTACTTTAGATATTTTTTGTAAATTCAAGCTTTTAAGTTAGGTAGGACTAGCCCATGCAGCTGTGCTTGGCACAGCAGGTATTGCAGGGTATCTGTGTTCAACATGGGCTTGGAACGGGCCAATATGAGCTTTTTTAGTATTACAGATATTGGGTATTATTGATCAATTTTTTAGGTTTCTTTTAGTATTTTATAATTCATTGTGAGGTAAATCTTTAGTATTTTATAATTCATTGTGAGATAATAAACAAGAAACATATGACGAGTTCATCAATAATCATTTTCTGTTTTATTGAAATTTGGAATACGATTTTGATATTAATAGAAAACAAATATAGAATTGCATCACTATACCGTATATCTGTATCGTACTACTTTGGATTGGCAGGGTCTGTCCATTTACACTGCTGGGTGGTGGTAGTGGTGGCTTGCTGATGGCTTTCTTCTATAAAATGTCTGGCCTTATGCTTTGTTTATTGTATATTTAAAAATTATACAATTCCAATGTAATCTAACATGATTCGATTTGCACCAGATATGGAGTGTTTCAAAGAAAATGGTACATTTGATCGGGAGAAATACCGATGAACGATTTGTCAGGGTAAATTCATCCTTTGCTCAATAACAAAGCAAATTTCAGGTACCATTTATTTCTGTTTCACATATATTGGACATTGCAAATGTCATATAACTAGAAACACATGGCTTCTGATAGCGTTTAATAGTTACCACTTTTTCTTTTGCCCATTATGTCCTGCGTATTCACGTGTTTGCTTTTCTCCTGTAGTTTGGTTTATGGAAAATACATGCTAACTGTTACCATTCCCAGGCCGAAGCAGTAAGATCATTTACGTATTTCAAAATGAATGATAAGATCTTTAGGGCTGAAAATTGGAGTAACTTCGTTGTCCAACTTACCAATAAGTTTATTGAACTACCTAGAGGAGCAGCCTCGCTGCCCTATAATTTTTTGTCAAGGGCATGTGTAGAAGTTTGTAACTTCTTGATATTTTGACTGAAATAACCTTGTGTTCCCATGACAGGCGTTCTTGAGCTGGAAGTGTAAATTTTTTGAAATGGATTTGGTTGGCTGTAGAAACTGAATGCTTTACTACCAAATATGGGAAGAATAATTTGAATTGCAATTTTGGTACTATTGGCCTCATTGCATTGACAAATCCAGCTACGACATTTTAATTTGAGGAATATCGTCATATTCTCAAATCCGTCTACTATGAGAAGATAATGTAGTCTTTGCAGATTCAAAACAACAATAAGAAAATGGATCCCAAAATATAGAGAACAAAAAGAACTAATTCATTCCTCCACAGTCCTTCAAATACTTGGTCTTGATTTTGGTGAGTGTGATTGCGGCATCTTTCATGTTAATCCTCTCTCTCGGCAATGCTGCAGAGCAAGCTAAAGCTAATCTCATAACGGATGATAAGCAATCCCTTCTGCTCACGAAATCACCATCTTCCTCCGCCCCTAGTATATCGGCATCCACAACTTCACCTATTGCAGCATCTGGAAATAATGAATCCGCAATCCATTGCTTTAAATCCAATTCCCCAACAAACATCTCGTCTGTTGGCTTCCTTTTTGTGAATGTCTCCATGAGTACAATACCAAAACTATACACATCCCCTCTTGTTGAAACGCTTCCTTCCATCCCATACTCTGCAAAATTTGTATGTGAATTTAGTTATACATGATAAAAAGAAAATTATAACTCCTAATAAGGCCAACATATACAAAATTGAGGAAATACATCACCTGGAGCCATATATCCAACTGTGGCTAGGGTCATGGTTTCTGTCATCGAATCTCCACTGCCGATGAGTCTTGCAATGCCAAAATCAGCAACATGTGCAACCATATCATCATCTAGTAGTATATTGCTTGGTTTCACATCACAATGAACGATAGGTATCGAGTAACCATGATGAAGATATTCTAGTGCCAATGCAACATCTTTCATTATGTCTAACCTCTGCAGGATAGTCATGGAGCGGGTTGGAGAATACAACCAGTTGTCGAGGCTTCCATTAGGCATCAATTGAAGTATCAGGGCTTTGAAATCAAGTTCATCGCAACAACTTATGATTTTAATAAGATTCCGGTGACGGATATTGCTTAGTATTTCACATTCCTTATCAAAACTCTTGAATGCCCCTTCTAGCTGTAAATTGAAGACCTTGACGGCGATATCTATCCCATCTGAAAGTGTTCCTTTGTATACTGAGCCAAAACCCCCCGTGCCTAGTAAGTTACTCTCATGAAATCCATTTGTTGCCTTTACAAGTTCTAGGTGCGAAACTCTTCTCCAAAGAACTTGATGTAGCGAGGCAGTTTCTCGTACAACTTCGACATTCCTTTTCTTGCGTAGTATCAGAATCAATGCAGCGGCCACTAGGAGTATTACTGATGTGACCCCTGAGATGATATATTTAGCTTTCCTCCAATTTGGCTTAACTTTTGTTCTATTTTTGCACAGTGGAACATGGAATCGGGGAGCACCGCAGAGTGCATCGTTTGATACAAATGAATCAGCAAAGAAGTTTCCGAAAGGCCCACCGGTTGGAATTTCTCCTTGGAGTTTGTTGAAAGACAAATTCAGATGCTTGAGAGACAAGAGTGCTTCCAATGACTTTGGGATCACTCCGGATAGATTGTTTTTGGACAAATCCAAGAATTCTAGGCTTAGCAAGGTTTTAAATGAACTGGGAATATGGCCTTCTAAATAATTGTTTGCCAAGGACAAATTAATCATATTTAGAAGACCCCCAATGCTATCGGGAATGTTTCCGGAGAAATGGTTATTTGATAAATCAATCTCCACCACATCTTCCAACTTTCCGATGTCTTCTGAGAGTGGTCCAACTAGAGAATTGGATGACAAGTTTAGGAACAATATATACTTGAGTTCCCACAAGGAAGATGGTATTTTTGAAGTTAACAAATTGGAGTCTAACGATAAATCTCTTAGAGCTCCTGCCAAAGTACCCAAGCAGGAAGGAATAGAACCAGAGAGACGATTACCAGCCAAAAGTAACTCGACTAGGTTGTTTAGTTGACAGAGTTCATACGGAACATGTCCTTGCAGTTCGTTATCATTCAAATACAAAGCTTGGAGATTTTGTAGCCTTTGTATTGAAGTTGGAATTGCTCCGCTCAACTGATTGTTTCCCAAGTTTATCTCTATCAAGCTGCTAAAGTTGGCAATATCAACTGGAATGTTGCCCCTGATGTTGGAACGCATTAAATCAAAATATAGGAGTGACGTAGAGAGATTCCTGCGAGAAGCTGGAATCGTGGTGTTTAGTGGATTGTCTCCCAAGTCGAAGTCTTTCAAATTTCTAAGATTAAACAAGCAAGGGAGAGTGCTTGCTGCTTGTGGAGTAGAAGCATCAATCGTCAAATGATTCAAGTACAAGTAAAGACGCTCGAGGTTTTTCAAGGAACAGAGCGTGCTAGGAAGAAACCCGGTAAATGAGTTTGTGTTCATGTCTAGCACCCTGAGCTTGGAAGCATTGGAGAGGTTAGGGAGTAGTTCGGACACGAGGTTATTTTTGGCTACATCAAGGATTTCTAGGTTTGGAACGTTAAGACCTATGTTTGCTGGGAGGCTACCTGAGAGCTGATTAAAAGAAAGCCCTATTTGTCTTATCATGGAGTTATTGAAGAGTTTGGATGGGATGACGCCATTGAGATTATTACTAAACAGGTCTAATCTCTCTAACTGTGGAAGATCACAAATCTCATCCGGTATTGTACCTGTCACAATTTTAGCACATTTGCATTAAATTTGAAACTTCAGTTTAACTAAAAACTAAAAACAATAAACGAAATGATTATCAAACGGTCCTAAATTTATTACCTGTTAAATTATTGTCAAAAAGAATAATGTCGGTTAAGTAGGTGAAATTGCCAAGACTTTTGGGTATGCTTCCACGGAAATCATTAACCGCTAATACCAATTGACGAAGCTCTTTGCATTGCCACAGTTTGAAGGGAATCAGACCATCAAGCTGGTTTTGAGCCAAATTCAATCGTCGAATACTCGAAAGATGCTCACATATATTGTCCGGAAGACTGCCACTCATGTTGTTTCCGGATAGAGTCAAAGTAGTCAAAGAAGATATGTTGAGGACAGGCACAAAAGCCGAGCCTTTTAGGGCATTGTTTTGCACAAACAACTCCTCCAGCTGACCTAAACTGCCTATCTCGTTTGGAAGTTCTATAAAATCAATCCGTATATATTAAAATCATGTAGACATATAGGAGCAGCTTATTAGTAGAAATCTTGTTGTACTGTAGCAAAAGAGGGATAACATTATAAGGATCATGTACTCACTATATAGGACCCCTTTTTTGCTTCCGAATACAAGGGTCTTACACAGTAAATATACGATCCTACGATAGTCCTCTCGTCTCATTTTTGCTAAAGTGGAACGAGATCCCTGCTAAGAAGGGTCTTGTATGTATAGATGTAACAAAACCTAAGTCATGTAGTATACCTTCGAACTTGTTGTAGTCAAGGTATATGCTCTTCACCATTGTTAAGTTGCCTATTTCTCTGGGTATGCTACCTGTTAAATATGTGCACGCATGGCAACAAAATGAAGGAAAAAAGATCCAAAAGAGATGATTGTTATACATCTTATATATAGATGTTAAAATGTAACAAAGATGTTAAAATGTAATGATGAAGTAAGCAATATTAATTTATATTCCTACGTGTTTGGTAATGGTGTTGTACGTACGCACCTGATAGTTGGTTCCTTTTCAGATTAATTGTTTCGAGTGCAGATAAGTTGAAGATAGCAGCCGGTATGAAACCCGAGAAGCCATTACCGTACAATTTGATGGCTTGAAGTTTAGCAAAGGACCCAAACCACGAAGGAATGGTTCCCATAAAGTTGTTGTTTCCAAAGTTAATCGCCTTCAACCGGCGCAAATGAGACAATTCTTGCGGTAGGGGACCATGAAAACTATTATTCTGAAGGCCCAACGCAACGAGAAATGAGAGGTTGCCAAGATGCGGAGGAATAACTCCGGCAAGACCCATGTACGAGAGATTTAAGGCCGTGACTCTGTGGTGGCGAGCACTGCAGGTAACACCAACCCAGTTGCAAATGTTGGAATTGGAGGCAGACGACCAGTTGGCGGTCAAGATGTTTTGAGGGTCACTAGTGATGTAAGCTTTGAGAGCAAGAAGCGCAGACTGATCTGTGCTGAAATTGGTATGAGCTATTGCTAATGCACCTGCAGTTAAGTAATTAGCCATAATCATCATATAGATATAACACAAGCAGTGTATCATCGAAAACATTCTCAGCAGTAGGAAACGACTTCTCTCCTTAATTGTAGTAGTTTTTGTCTTTCGGTTTAAATCCGATCGAAAACTAGAACTCATTACTTTCACATAAATAGGGAAACAAACCAAGACTTGCCCGGCTTCTATGTCAGGGTGAGGAGACTTAGACTAGTCGAACGATGACGTGTGATTCGGATTTTTTTTACATATCAAACACACACCATTCATTTTTCGCTGATAGCTTAGCTAGGTGAGGAGGTATAGTCTAAGTCCAACTTTGTTGTCGAAGTGAGGAGACTTAGAGTAGTGGAACGAAGGCTTGTGATTTGGATTTTTTACATATCAAACACACACCATTCATTTTTTGCTGATAGCTTGATGGTGACGTTCGCCGTAACTATCACCATTCATTTTTTGCTAATAGCTTGATGGTGATATTTGGTAATTGGTGCTGCTAGCCGACGAGTTCTGTCCATTTTGTGGGCACAGCTGGAGATGCCCAAATGTGGAATTTTAGTCTTCAGTTCACCATCAAAACAAACAACACCATAAATTTCAAGATTGATATTTAATGATGACATACATTTTGATTCAAATGCAAATGCAAATGCAAATGCGACCAAACACATAACAGTTGCATTCTTCCGGATGAAATGTTTTTGACGACGTTTACATATAATCAAGCTCTAGTTGAACACTCTTCAGATTCGAAAATCATCTAAACTTGGCTAATCAGTTTTTCTGAACAGAACAAAGCAAAGATGATATGCAAACGGTCCAAGAGTTACGGTCTTATGCTTCTCAATTATTAATCACGATCGCATGTACAAATTCATTGCAGCAATACGAAGAAGGGAAGTAACAACCAGAAGTTGAAAACTAGTACAGATATGTACATACACTATCATGCAGACTTGCCATTGGTGACGCTCTGAATATGCAAAGGCTTCTTATATGACTGCAACAAGAGAGAACATACCACGATTAGAGATGAAGCAGGAATGCACCTGCAAGCCACGGTGGTAAACGAATTCCAGTGAAAGGGAACAAAACTCCAGCCGCCACCGGCATGCTGAGGATATTGTAGCCCAGGGCCTAGACATAATTCAATCGAATTCGAGAAATGGTCTTTCTAGAGAGATCAATGGCAGTAACTACATCTTCCAAGTTGCTCTTCATCAGAACTATAAGCAGCTTCCATAGCCACGTCGGTGCCAGCACCAATGGCCATGCCAACATCTCCTGCAACCATAGCTGGAGAGTCATTAATTCCATCTCCCATCATTGCCACCGCCATTCCTTTCATCCGCATCCAAATCCACTTTAACAAGTCAGAAAACACTATGTAAGATAGATGACTCACATATCAAGTCAGAAACAAACTTAATATAGAAAAATGAGTTTGAAGATTTCTATAAGACATTATTTTACCCTAGATAAGTCATTTGAAATATAATCAATCTGCGTTCAAAACCAGAACCACGATGCTTGTAATGTTTATCGAGTGAAGATAAGAGATGACCTGTGCAGCCTTTGGCTTCACTGGATCAGTTACAGCAAAAGACCCAGCGATCTTTCCATCAATGGAAACCAACACACATGTTCGAGCCAGATTATCAGGTTCTGAAACATGCTAGTCAACCTCAGGACCAACCTGGACATTATTTTCCCACATGAACCTCACCAATCACCATTTACCTACATATTTCTCAAATAGAGACATGTTAGCATGATTGACAAAATAATTTTACAATAGCATAACAACAATGAGTTGTCAACTCCTCCATTGAGTAAAGAGCACAGCATTGACTACTACGGGTTTCCCAACTGTCAGAGTCCCTGTTTCATCAAAAACAACTGTTTTCACTGGCAGGGATCAAACACGTCCATAAACGTCCAGACACCAACGAAGTGTCAAATACTAAGAAACGTATCAACCTTCATGAATTAGGTACCATCTGTTCAGCTTTTAATTTAGGAAAGAACAAAAACCCCGAAAAGGAAGAAACAATTATTAGACATGGACAAGGAGTTCGGGTAAAGAGAACTCTCCTTCAATGAGAGCTGTCATCGACAAGAAATGGGGATTTAAAACTTGGCGAGTACGGCTTGGTGACATGGACAAGGTGCATACAGCCATCAATTGTCCAGAACCAAAGGGTCATACGAGACAGATTCCAACTATGAAATAATAGTTGCATGTTCATTCCCAATATATGCAGGAAGAACATCCTCCATACCCAATGACATAGATTGCATTTAGTTTTATGTTAAGAACCTAAACGTTGATTGAACCGAGGCAGAGCGTTTTACTGGTCAGGAATGAAGTGCATAACTTGTTATCATACGGAACACTAACATAATGTATGGTGGTAGCATAGGGGATAGTATGAAATAACCAGAACAATATGAGGAGAGCAACTTCATAATGGAGGACGAGAAAAAAAACTACACTTGCACCCTCAAGACATATAGAGAATGTATCTAATCAGAAATTGTTTTTTCCTAAACCACAACAAACAGGTTTTCAACGTCCTTGGAAGGAAAAGTAGGAACAAGTATAATGAAGCAACTAAACACAACAGCAAAAACAACATGAAAATAAAATGCATGAAAACCAGATCTTAAATTAAAAAAGAAATTTGTTTCCAAGGATAAGGTGGTCTTACCTTATAAGCCTTTTCGAGTACACTAGCAAAAATGCCCGTGTTCCGTTGCGGGGACTTCTAGAAGTATGATCTTGTACCATCTGATTTCTTTTGCTATTCCTAGTTCTTTTTGGCATAATGTGCAAAACCAAATTGATAGCTAGGAAGAAAAAATGAAAACACCTGCATAAATTAAATTTTCCATCACTCCTATAGTATAATTAAATAAATCAAAGCACAATAATCATCTCACAATTACAGAAGCAAGGACTTTCAAATGCCCCAATTATTTAACAACTACTATGCATAATTTTTAAAAAATGAGTATAAAATTAACCTCTTTTGAAAAATGAAGGAAGAAAGATGAAAGCTTAAGCCAAGGAATATAACTATATTGAACTCAATTATTTGACATTAATTACACAAACCCAATTCCATATATATAGCCAGACAGAAGCTTTATCCTAGAGAGAAACCATGCCCAAATGATTATATAATCTCCAGACTGAGTGTGAATTCAGAGCATGAAAGGGAAGTGAGTTCCTTGGTTCCCACATTGTAGAGACTAAATCTCAAAACTTTGCCAAGCATTACAGGAAACCATGGAAAGAATAAAAATGACCACAAAGATTGCAAAACAATTAACCACAGGTGGTGTTTATATGCCCACTGAGAGAAAAAAGCTTCTGCAAGTGAAAAAACAGGCATGTACCATCTGAAAGAGCCTCTTGTATCCATTCCAATTATACTTATGTCTACCATATCCCTCTACAATTCCCCACCACCAATCAACAATAACTGATTTCAATACCCTTAGCTGCTTTAGTAGACCATCTAGTGACACCTAATTGCCACCAAAATAGAAGACATGATCAAGACCATACAGATTACAGACTAGCTTAAAAACAACTGTTATCTATTAAGCAAAACTTGAACTCCTTGATGTGGCAACCTCTTAATCCAGGATGTAGAGTAGAAAAGCAAAATTATTGACAAACCGAAAAATAAGAATTTAACTTGCATAGTAAACGAATATTAGTAAAGTTACAGAACTCAATGGATTACATATACCAGTAAAAAAGCGAAACATCAGTGTTTGGGAAGTTACCTTATTTGAAATGTCAGGAGCATCTGGTGTACATACAGGGTAGACAGTTCTTGAAAAAAATCAGGGCTTCAAAATAAAATAAAAAATAAATTCAAAAGAAATCAAAACTATTAATCCTAACAACTGTTTAGTAAAGGATAAAACAAACTTTCCATCAAACAAACTTGAGAAACAAAAAGAGGGAAATAAATTTAAGTTGAATAGAGGTGTTGCCTACCCAGAAATCCAAACGAAATCCCCAAAAATTCACGCCCCCAAAACCATACAAAGCACCAGAGTTGAAAACCAGCGCTACACTGGGATCATCCACACAGTGACGAACTCTGATCATTGTCACTGATCTCCATCGCCTTCCAAAGCCAAAACCCTTTTAAGAAAAAGAGGGTAATGAATATGATAAAGCCAGTAATGAATGGAATAACCCAATTTCTACCGCCAATCACCCTTGCTGAGTGATGATTCGCATACTTCCTCGTATTTGTTTATGGGTTCCTATCCAACAAAATTTCGACTTAGCACCCAAAAACTGTATCAGCTCACGAACACAGAGAGGTTTTACATAGCCCGTTTTAAAATTTTAGGATAATTTACAAGTTTGCCATAGAAATGGGTTTGTTCACTCGGCCCAAATTCTTGGGCTTTGTTAAGCTTCACTACTGAAAGCAGTGTCGGACAGCTTCACTAGCCACTGCTAGTGTTGGTGTGAGATGTTATAGAGTTTCTTCTCCGGCATAACTCGGAGTCGTACAACTTCATCTTCGGGTGATGAGGCCTACCATGTTTCTTCACTGGCGTAACCCAGTAACGTACAACTTCACCTTTGGATGATGGACAAGTATTGCCTTCGGGCGACCATGATACCTGTAAAGAGTATAATTTTATTGAGAGGTATGGATTTGCCTTTGGGCAGAGGTTTTACAGATTTGCCTTCGGGTGGTTTTACTACCATCTTCGAATATCATTTTACACATATATGTTTTCCTAATGAATGCACAACATGCTAGGGTTTTTAGGAAATCTACTATGTAGTATTATATATGTTTTCAAAACAAGGGGTTATTATGTTCACATTAAAATGGTTTTTGGTATTACTAGTATTAATATAGATTATGGTCCACTCACCTTTTCTGTTTTGTGCCCCCTTAGGATTTAGATTCGAGGCACAGGATCCCGGCATTAGGACACTTTGGCGTAGTTATTCTCGAGTCTTCTCAGTATATGTATCATTTTTGGGTTGGCACAATTTCCTAGTAATTTTCCCACATTATTCTTAATAGATGTACGCTCTGAATACGTTTCTGCTTTGGTATAATTGTTCTAATTGCATATTTGTTTTAATTGTATGCATGTTTAAAATGACTTCGTCACCCTCGAGTGTCAGCCAACATATGCCTACCCTGATATTTAGGGATATCGGGGTTGGGGCGTGTCAGGTTTATCAAATTCAAAGCAAAACCTTCTAGAGTTAAAAGAGGAGCAAGGAGGGAGGCAGATTGTCTGCCCTCTTAGTTGTGGTGCCCTTTCATGCCCTCCTATTTGTGCGATCACGATTAAGCCACATCAACATTTTATATTAATTTTTTAATAGAGATAATAAGACACAAAGTAATAAAAATATAAAATATTAACGTGGCTTAACCGTGACCGTACAAAATAAGAGGGCATGGAAGGGCACCACAACTAGGAGGGTAGACAATCTGCCTCCGAGCAAGGAGGTTCGGTTACTGAACCCAAAACACTATTTTAATGAGCAAATGGATATCTAAACTGGGGTTAAAAATTTTCAACAATAAAAAACATGTCTTTTGATTGAAGTTGCATAAATTACAGAACTTTGGGATTAGGGACGAACAAAATGCCCAAATTCCAATCAAGAAAAATAAAAAAAATTGTATGTAAATTTAAGCTTTACCTGTAGATCGGCAGCAGCAAAAGCATACTGGATCCAACGGGAGCCACGTATGAGAACTGGATGCCCAGCCTTTGACACGTTATCAAGTGAGTTTAAGGATCTGGGTTTTGTGTTTGCCGTTGAATTTTGGAATGATCTGGAGAAATTTGGGTTTTAGGGTTCCAAGGATTTGAGTTAACCGAAATTGATTTGGATGAGCAACTTTTAGTTTCAATTCGTGGTGGAGCAAGGATGAAGAGGTGGAGGAGGAAGGAATGAAAAACTTAACTTCTAAAGTTTCAAGTGCTCAACAAATTTCGAACAATGTATGTTTCAATGCTTAAAAAAAAAAAAAAAAGGACATGCATCAAAGACTTTTAGGTAGAAAAAATGTGCATTGGCTGAAATGGAGATAATTAGGATTTAAAATGTTAAAAATTTTCTTTTTGGCTCACTAATTAGATGAAAAAGTGAGATTGTATGAACAATTTACACCCAGAAACATAAACTACACAGAATCACAACTGATCTAACAATGAGAAAGTATATAAGACAATACACTATCAATAGGCTAAAACACTCTTTTAATTGATCTAACAATAGCCTAATAGGATTAACTAAACCATTAGAGACTGCAACAATGAGAAAGTCTGAAGATTAAAATTCTAGTTGAATATCTTTGAACCCCTAGGTGTTGGAAACATTTTTAGTAAATTTGTTCAAGAAAATATAGAAACTCATGATGCAATTCCATTGTCTGGGATAGCACGTATTTACCTACAATCCAACCTCAAGCTAACATTTTTCATAAGTTTATTCTTTTTGTTAACTACACTGGAATTTATAAAACAATTTTAGAAAAACTCGAGTCTAGATAATGGACTTTTGTTCCAGTTTAAAAATTTTTGACTTGTGTTCTAAGCAACATAATGTATTCACATTTCAATTGTCAAAGGCATCGCAATAATCCCCGACTGAAGATATTAAAAATCAGTACTTCTTCTCCAAGTTTTCATTCAGTTTATTTCACTTGTCCATCGGAATTTATTCAAAGAAGATTAAATAAAGAGCATGCCAAAGATTAAAACCCTTCATTTCAAACTTTGCTAATGCACAGCTCTGTTTGGTTTTCTTCCCCATAGACTAGACTGAGAGAGGAGTCAAGTTCTCCAGTGCACCATCAATCTCCCGTTCGAGCAGCCATCACCACCTCACTCACCACTCCGGCGAGGCACCACCTTGCCACCACCCTCATGTCTCACTCCCTCTCTACCACTCTCCCTATTTCCCTCACCTCTTTCTCTCGATACTGTGCTCGCTGCACAGAAACAGCAAGGCGACCACCGTAGCCATTTTTCACGGCGAACTACACTGTCACGAAACCATCACCATTAATCTCGCCACCTAGGCGAGTTTTACCATACTCGAACCCACCCTCTGCAAAATGCCTTCATACCTTCTAATTTCAATTCTTGCATTTCTTGTATGGTATCCATGTCTTGCACATTCAAGTACTTATATACCAACTGAGAATAACAATATAAATCCCACACCCACCTCTTTTTCCCCACTTGAAAAAATCACCTAAAAACCACATTAACCACCATAGTGTAAGACTCCAGACATGGCTCCAAATTTCAATCTAATTAATTAAATTACAGAGGATTCTACCTACCTCATGAAAACAAATATGTTCAGTTAAAGAAATTCCCTAATCACTGCAGTGCATCTTAAACTACTATGTCAGCCATACCAATCTAATAAAAAATCCATGTTTCAATCGATTCTTATTAATTCCAACTCCAAGTATTTCAGCATCTAGATTATAGAAAAATCGTAAAAAAACAAAACTCAATCTTGGTGCTAAAGCACACTTCGTTAACCTCACCTTCCTCAAGTCCATGATTCCTGCCATGAGATCTTTCTCTTAATCCAGACTCGGCTTCAGATGCAAGATCAAAATAACGAAGCATTCAGTTCCATTTCTACGCACAGCAAATTGAAAATTGAAATATGTTATAATTTACTCGGAATCTTCATTTGTATTATGAAAGCATATAAACAGATACATTTGAAAACTTATAAAGCTACCTAATTAAGTTGAAAAGTTGCTAATTAAGATCAGGTGCCAGTGCATCCAGTGAGCCTTCCAAGGAAAGATGGCCCCGTGGACTTAGACCTTGAAAACTGAGGCTTGTTTTGCCTTGTAATTGTATGTTCAGTAGCATTCTTATGGATTGGAATTGTATGATCAGTAGTATCCTTATGGATTCCCAGATGAATCCTCAAAATTTTGTTCTCATCCGTTCGCTTATGCACATGGGACAAAGGCCACTCAATTGTTTCACACTTCTCCTTGTTTCTCCTTATCAACTCAGCTCACGCTGCATATTTCGTCAATGAGTTCCGAGATCTTTTCATGCAACATTTTATCTTTTTCAACCACATCACCATCAGATTCTACACCATTATCAATACTCTCTTTTTCCATATATTCTTCAAAAGTACACAAACCAACCTTTTTTAGGACAGACTAGCATTTGTTTGTTTTGATGGCTCTGAATTTTGTTTCCGTTTTCTCTTTTGTGGTGGTCTGATCAAGATGCACTCCAAAAACTAATTGGAGTGCCTACACAGATGAACAACGCATAAAAATCAAAAATAAAAAACAACAGCAGGGATAAAAAACAATGACAATAATTCTAAAGAAATTTAAATCAAACGCTTAAGACTAATCCCTGGTTTGGTATTAAGGTGATTTTAAAAAAAGTGGGTATCAAAAAGAGTTGGGAACTTTTTTATGTGTGGTAAACTTTCAACTTCAATTTTTTTCCACAGATTTGAATGAAAAAAAGCCAAAAAACAGAAGCAGCAAAAGGTAGCTCTGAAAAATTGACTTTTCAACTTCTGTGCAAACCTCTTTTCTAAGAGGCGTTTAGGGCTTTAATGAAACTTTCATGACCTAAAATGACCCCCATTTACAATCACACAAGATGCTTTTATCATCTTCCATTTTTTTTAGCTAAGCTGTTTCGAAATCCGTGAGAGTCGAGGCGGTGATGCAGCAGGCAAGATTGCACCAACCCTCTCTGTCCACGGCGGTGCCAGATGCCTCTCTCGATGATGATATCCAGTCTACCTCCGATGGTAATATCCCCACAACCCAATTGAACTAACAAAATCCCAGGTGGAATTACCAACAATCCGAAGCTCAAACACTCACCTTCCATGCTGAGACTAGATATTTTTTGAGGTTGTTCAAGATCATGAGGCCATACTTTAAGACTTGGAGCGGTGGACCTTGAGCTTTTGGACCAAGCAAAGCTATCCCAAGCCCTTCCTCCATTATCGAACTGGTTTTTGAACCTGCGATCTGACCCGCCAACGAACCATCTAGCATAGAGGAAATTTATTTTAAGATTTCAATTGAGAAAGAAAGATATCGCATGGAGAGAGGAAGATTAACAGGAAAGAAAATGTGAAATGGGTTGAAGCGGCAGAAAGGACGAGAACGGGAAGGACGAGGGTTTGAGAAAGAAAATGTGAAATGGGTTGGAGCGAAGGAAAGGACGAGAACAGGAAAGAAAAGAGAGCCATGTGAGAGAAAGAGGGTTTGAGAGATGCTTCTAGAAAAATGTGGATTGATTTTAATTATGATAATAAAACATAAAAAGATAGGGATTTTAAATAATAAACTAGTTTAATTTTTTTATAAAATAACCATTAGTGTTGGAGACGCTTAAGATAAAGAGTAATAGTTGTATAGTAAATAGATATTATAAATGTTGGATTATATGTTGAATGTTAGATTATGATTTCTTGTTAAAAGTTGGATTATATGTTTAAGATAAAATTTATAAATATTTTTCTTTTAAAAATAAAGTATATTTAGTAATTCACCTTTATTTGTTAAGAAAATTAAATTCATGACACATCTAGTATTATATCATTTTTGGTCATTTCACACAGTCACAGCCGTTTTACATAAAAGTTTACCAAACATTATAATACTGCTTATTTTTCCAAAATCAGTTTTACAAAAAAGTTTACCAAACACTCTGCTGCTTTATTTCACAACTGCTTATTCTCATAGCACAGCAAAAATAGTTTTTTTTTCAAATCACAACAATATCAAACCAGCCCTAACTCACAAGAAGCTTTATGAGTTAATTTTTTGGGCAAAAAATATTCTAGTAATGCATTCTCATACAAAAAATTTCTTTAAATACTGATTTCATGCAATCCAAGAGCTAAGTGCTTAAATCAGAAAAAATTCTTTAACCAAATACTCTTATATAGCAGTGCAGCTAAGTTTTTCTTGAACCCTGACAAATATCACTGTAAAATTATCCCAAATATATCTCAAAGATTGTAGAGATTCAGATAATCAATAATGAGACAACCAAGATGTTCTTTATTCGTTTGTCCTCCATACTCTACCCTAATCTTCTTAGGATTTTAGTTAAACAACTTGCTCCTGTAACAGCAATAGTAAAGCATAAATATTCATGAACACTCATCACCAATATTATGAATAATAACCTACTAAAGTTTGGTGATGATCCAACAGTTGGATCGTCGATTCAAATAATGACCAAGTGGCAGACCTTAGCGAAATTGTACCCAAACAATGAAATTTCGTTAATCGGACTTCACATATGGAATTAGGGAATCCAAATTAGCCTAGGATGGCCAGGTGTGGTCTCGACCCACACGCGCTGCCGCACACAGCATTCGGCCGCCCCAACTTGCCAGAAAAAATCAATTATTTCTAAAAATTCTCAAATTTTATAGAAATGAAGATCTCAATGAGTAGAGAAAATTTTATGCCTATGACCAAGTCCAATTTGGCCGGGAAAAGCCCCAATTTAGCTCGAACCCGCCAGAAACCCTAAGGTAGGTGTTCTGTGATTCTCTTTCCTCGGTGTTCCAACACCCCTACCACTGGTTGGGTCTTGTTCTTGGGTCCAAGGGAAGTTGATTAAGGTGGTGGTGGGTGGTGCAACTCGCTGGAATGGAGGAATCGTCGTCAAGCACCTCCAGTGCTCCAGTGAAGTTCCCTGCAGGTTAGGACTTAAAAACCCTCAAATTAGGAGGAGATGGTAGATGGGAGGTGGTGGAGTAGGTTGCAGATGATGGATGTGTGAATTTCAACTAAAAAATGATGGAGATTGGCTGGAATTTTGGCTGAATCGAAATTGGGTTCATGGTATGCACGGGTTGAAAGGGAGATAACCATTTCTCACTCCTCTTCTAATTAGTCCCTTAACCTTTTTATTTGATTGGTCACTAACTCACCTTCTCATTGGTTCCCTTACCTTTCCTTTGTGATTGGGCCGAATTCCCACCTGGTGGGAATTCATTTAAATAAAGGATTAAGATAAAAAAAATAAGGAAAAACAACTTCGAACGTCCATAACTATACCTTTATAATCCGAACTTGCAAAACGGCACCTATGCGTTCATACCAACAAGTGCTACTCAAATACGCTGAAAGAATAAGTCATACGTTTCTCTAGACGATAGTCAACGGAAGTCAAAGTCTTTGCCTCTAGGGCATTTTCGTCAATTCTCTCAATTAAAATAAAGGGGTGTGATATCCACACACCCCATTTTACTTCTCACACACCTTTTTAATTTTCAACCGTCGGATCGGATGAATTGAAGAAGATCAAGACATAAATTATCAAGGGTGTGTGGATAGCACATCCTAAAATAAATAAAAACATAAATTTTGGGATGGGTTGTCACAAAGGGACTTTAATCAAACTTTGAATACCAAAAAGTTTTAGTTAAAGAGTGTTATGGACTAGGTACCTCATCCAAAGTATCCCTTTATAATTCATTCTGAGGTATATCTTTAGTTTTATTTGGGTTGTCTTACCCAGATAATAAAGAAGAAACATATGACATGTTGATCAATAATCATTTTCCGTTTTATTGAAATTTGGATTACAATTGATAATTTGATATTACCAAACAACAAATATAGAATTGCATCACTATCGTATATCAATGTCGTACTACTTTAGATTGGCATGAGGATAATTGGGTGCCCAATGCATGCTGCCTCCACCACCAATGCCGCCACGCCACTTGGAGGGGACACTCCACCACCTTCCTTGCCTCGGTACAATCTAGACAGAACTTCAGTGTCCAAATTCTTCACAAGAGTCTTCGAATTCTTGTATTATGCGGACTAATTGTGGCTAGCCAAATGACCTAAACGTTAATTTAGCTAGCCATCATTTTTGACAATTCTAGCTAACCATTTTAGCTTAAATTCAAATATTCTAATTTATTTTTCTTCTTCTGAATTTAACAACTCAAACCCTTTTTCTTTGCTTGGAGCCCACAAACAATGTAATTTATAGTTTTTAATGTTTATCAGAAGTTTAACTTTCTCTCTCTCCTAACTAGTCAATTGGAATTTTGAGAGATTTTAATGGATTTATAAATCTAGGGATTTTTATGAAGTCTAATTGATTAGTAGAGATTCCATATAAAATTTTGATTCAATTCCCTCAAAATATCATGGGGAGAGGTGTGATTTGTGGATGCTTATAATATACTACGAAATCTCACCAATTTCCTCTTAATCGTCTTAGATTGAGATTACATATACAAGGGTGTTAGGCCATCTCCAACCAAGGGCTGGCCAGATGGCTTGTTTTAGCTCTCTGACCCTCCAAGAAATTAATATTTTAATGAATAGTACATAGTCATATTTGTCTCCGTCTCTAACCGAGGGCCAAAGGGTCATAAGACTTGTTTTAGCCCTGTCACAAAAAACCATCTCCAACCGAGGGCAAAAAGGCCATAGGACCAAACATAATTTATTATTTAAAAACTACAACTTAAATTCAAATCCAACGGCTAAGTGACGTCAGTTAGCCGTTGGTAGCTGACATCATGCTGACGTCAGCTAGCCGTTGGATTTGAATTTTTCTTTTGCTATAAATAGGGTGGATATTGGGCTATAATTCACACAACTTTGAATTCAATCTATTTCAATTCAATCTCTTTCAATTCAAGTTTGCAATGAATTTCCCTTTGGATTCCAACTGGGGGTCCTCATCCAATTCCAAATTGGAAGCAAAATGGGCGCAAATGAGACAAGAAAATGAGGAGTCTAATGAAGAAGTTCAAGTAAGGCACAACAAACAAAATAGAGTAGCAGCCATGGTTGCGGGCATGGTGTGTCAGCCAATTGAGGAACAAGCTCAATAGGGTGGCTCTATTGCTGGTCGCTCTTACAAACCATGAAACAGAGCAATGTCGCATGCCAATCTGATGAACAACTACTTCAACCCCAACTCAGTGTACACAAAAGAGGATTTCAGACGTTGCTTCCGGATGAGGCGTCATGTCTTTGAGTGTTTACTTCGTGATGTCCAGCAGGTCAATCCATACTTTCGATGAAAGCAGGATGGAGTAGGCCGCACTGGTTTCTCACCTCATCAGAAGGTTATTATTGCACCCCAAATGATGGCCTATGGCACCCCAGCTGATTCGATAAATGAAACCCATGGTATGTCTGAGTCTACATGCCTTGATACTCTTGAACAATTTTGTGTCACAATTGTTCAGGTTTACAAAGACGAGTACCTCCGCGAGCCAAAGACACAGCTTCATCTGCATGACCAAGAAGATCCAAATAAGTTAAGAAGGCTCGTGTAAGAATAATGATTTTTCTTACAAGACATGGCTTGACTAGTGGTAGGTTGCTCCTTCATGCAGATGATATTCTTGCAAAGGCAGCTAACATTCTGAAGAAATATCAAGAAAATAAGCAAACTTGTATTCTATTGGCGGCTAAAATTGGTGGAATATATTGGTGGTCCCAAACGATAGCACAACCCGCTGAACTTACAACTGGATACTGCAACACTGCTCATAAGATGTATCTATTCTACCAAGTTCACATGCTAAATATCTTATTACAGCTGCTTAGAAATGATGGATAGTGATAACCTGGCATCCTATCTTGGCAGCCCAGAAGGATTACTCAAAGAAGTACGGGGCCTCTTGATAAATAATGCTTCCTTAGCTTGTTGCCACTTATTTTGAACTTACTTAGGAACACCCCCACAAAGCTGCCGCCTCTGCAACCCTCTCCTGCTTTTTCTCTGACCACTTCTCCTGCAACTCTTCCGGCATCCCCTCCGAGCCCTCAGACTCAGTCGCCGCCTTCGCCTTCTCCCAAGACCTCTCCGCCAACTTCCCCACCGACCTCAACTCCTTCAACGGCGACCCCACCCACGTCTCTCCGGCGTCCCCTCCCACATCGATTTCTCCAGCGAAGAGCCCGTCCAAGAGTGTGCCTCCACGGGAGCCCCCTACGCCCACCGTTTCCTCTCCGGCCAAAACTCCGGTGAGTGCTCCTAAGAAAAGTTTGGTCGGTGCTTCGCCAGTTGCAGAGGGTCCTGAGATTGCAACGACACCATCGTTACCAGTGGGCATTCCTTCGAGTTCTGCAATGCCGTCAGGATCCCCGGGAATGTTCCCATCAAGCCGTAACCCACCGATTCCGGCGCCGGCAAGTCTGTCACCGGATAGTGCTGCCCAGGGTCCATCAAGCGATGAATCGTCTGCTTCAGGTTTGAATGTGGGTCGGGTTGTTTTGAGC